ATTAATACTCTGAAGAAAATTAGAAAAAAAATCCATAATGTAGTCTACTATCAGTTCATATTCAAATTTCTGAAATGTCCCACAAATATCTTTTATGGTTTTCCCCAGTTGAACTAGAATCCAATCAAGGTCTACTCATTGTATTTGGTATGTCTCTTTGGTCTCTTTTCATCTATTCTATAACACTGACATTTTGAAGAGTCTAAGCCAGTTGTCTTGTAGAATGTCTCACATTCTGGATTTTTCTGATTGTTTCCTCATGCCATTTAATTTGTTCCTCTAACCCCTAGATTTCTTGGCTTGACCAGGAAATTGGGGAATTTCCTACTGGAAGTACCTAATGTCAGATTGTTCCCCAATCAGTGATGCTAACGTGATGACAGCCAGATCTCTCCATTGTAAAGATACTTTTTTTTTTTTTTTTTTTTGCAGCTACTAAGTAATCTTTGGATCTAGTCTTTTAAATGATGTTTTAATGCAAACCAATACTTTGATTAAAAATTTTTTTAAAGATTGGGAGGACATATGATAGACATCTAAAAAGAAAGAACAGTGAGGTGGGACAACTCTACTTTTTACCAGAGAATGATTGTAAAGCAGCAATAACTAAAGCATAATGGCATCAGAGCATAAAATACTGATATTGAAATAAATTCAAACATACATCACATAGGAGAAAAGAATGTTAGCCAGAAGATACACCAGAAATAAAATTGAGTTCAATTGCTTTACTTTACAGATGCTCAAGAAGCTTAATAAATTGTGTTAAGAGCAATTAAATTAAGGCCAGAAAATCATAATTATTTTTGAGTGCTTACTCTATGGGCACATTGTTCCAAACACTTTACATGATTAACTCATTTAATCCTCCCAACAACTTTGTGAGAATAGGTTATTTAGTACTTACTTTCTCCTTTTTTTTTTTTTTTTTTTTTTTTTTTTCAGTGAGAAAACTGAGACAGAGAGAAGTTAAGTGACTTACCCAGGATCCTCATCTAGTAAATTAGAAAGCTGGAATGGGAACCCAGGAAAGCTGACTCCAAAATCTGTGATTAATTACTTCACTCTACCATCTCACTAGTTATGTTACTTGTGGCTACACAGCCACAGCTAATTAGGAAACAAGTTAAGCTCTAGGTTATTTGAGAACAGATTTCACCCTGTATCTGGAATTCCAAGAATCGAGTGAATTTATTATTTCTTGCAACATAAAGCAGCATCCTTTCAGGCCTGCACTGGCTACCTATCTATGGTAATTAGGGAAGGATGGACAAGGAAGATACAGCACAGCCAAACACCAGGCCCCTTCCTCCACAAAACCCAACAAAGCACTTGGCCTTGGTATAATATCATATCACTTTTGCAGTAGATTGGCCTTCTTGTTGCAATCTTTGGTAAGATTGCTATTAAAATCAGTTGCTATTATCTATGCACCCCAAGGACAGCCAGCAACTGTGACTGGTGGAAATGCCTTGCACATTTGCCTCTGGGGAAAATGAGTAGATTGTGAAAGCTTTTCTCCACCCCTTTCTTTCAATCCTGCATCCCAGGTCTTGTTCTACGTCTTACTGATTTCCCATGTTAATTATTTTATCCTTGTCCTCAGTGGCCTCCTTTGTCTCTCATTGCCATAGAAACCCATTTTGCCTTAAGAATTGTCTTTCTTGCCAGTTTCTTTGACCCAGGCCCTCTACTTAAGTCCTCCTTCAGCTCCAAATCACCTGCTGAATTAATTCTAAGCTCCTTGATCTTGACCTCGGGGACCTTCTCTAATTCGTTCCTCTTTTATTCCTTTTTTTGAAATAATACATTCCTGAAGCAAAGGTTAAAGCAGATCACTGTCAACCAAAATATGAGCTGTAATAACTAATATATTTACAAAGAACTTTAGAGTTGAATAAAAACTTAGGGGCCGGCCCATGGCTTCCTTGGGAGAGTGTGGTGCTGATAAAACCAAGGCTGTGGGTTCAGATCCCTGTATAGGGATGGCCGGTTAGCTCACTTTGGAGAGCATGGTGCTGACAACACCAAGCCAAGGGTTGTGATCCCCTTACCGGTCACGGGAAAAAAAAAAGACAAAAACAAAAAAAAACTCATATCTTCAGATTCCCAGACTATGGATGTTACACTACACACTATCATTAATAAACTTGTTTTGTTCTTTCAGCAGCTGGGTGGTAAGTGGATCTGAATCCTTAACCTTGGTGTTACCAACACCATGCTCTAACCAACAAAGCTAACTGGCCAGCCAATAATCCTGTGTATTGCTAGGGCTAGGGCTCACAGACCCCTCAAGCCCATTGTACAGACTGGGTCACAAACCCTTCACACACAGGTCCAGGAGCTAGCTAGATCCTGGGAGCTGTGGGTAAAAAATTATTAGGCTTTATTCGAAGGTAAAAGCAACTGCCTAGTGGCCTCCCAGAACATCTCGAGAAGCACCGTGTATCAGAGCCATTAGACCTTTATACTTAAGTCCATAGCCCAGGACACCTGGGTGCACATGTGCAATTACATTAGACAATAACCAAGGAACACCTGGGTGCACGTGGATATTTACAGCAAATGCTCAGCAAGATTCTGAACATCTGAGGGGCCCTGACCATTTTCCTATATTTTCCATACAACCTGAATTTACCAAAATAGTTTTTCTTTTGATTATATCCTGTGGTAGGCAGGATTCTAAGATATTCCTCAGGATCTCCTCCTTACCCTATCCCACTCCACCTCCGCAGTACATGCTCTGCATAATCCCTACAGCCGTGACTATGATAAGCAATCCCTCCCCTGATTGTGTTATGCTACAGTAGCACAGCTGGTCTTAAGACAGGAAGATCATCTAGGTGGGACTGAACTAATCGGTATTAAAGTCATATAAAAATATATAAACAGGCTGGCCAGTTAGCTCACTTGGGTGGTGCTGAAAATACCAAGGGCAAGGGTTCAGATCCCCTTACCAGCCAGCCATTAAAAAACAAACAAAAAACGACGTTACAGGGCATAGGTCCAGCTGCCTGACCCCTTTCAAAAACAAACCACTCAGGCACATCGCCAGTGCCTCAGGGTCTACCTGGTAACCCAAGGCATGGAGCCAGGGACTGGACACCCCCCCATACACAAGCAGGCACACTTCCAGCACCAAGGAGCATGCCAAAAACACCACCTCCATGTGGGTGGCCCACCACAGCCACCACAACAACCATAGCTTGCTGCAAAAGTGGCTAGATGCCACAACCACCACGCAGATGGTCCGCCAGCCCCTGGAGTGCACTGACACAAGGAGAGTCACCAGAGGAGACCAAAGAAAAGAAGAGGATGTCTCTCTCCACAAAGCCCATTCCAGAGTGACAGAAGAAGTATCTGCTCTACGATAACATTGGGGAACCTGAACACACCTCTCAGCATTGGACAGATCATCTAGGCAACAAATCAACAGAGTAACCATTACTCTTTCAGAGGGAGAAAAGAAATCTAGGGTTATCAGTGGAGGGAGGAGGAAAAAGAAGGGGATAGGGAGAGATTGGACAAGGGGCATAAAGAATAAGAAGAATTTGTAACAATATATATACTAGTAATATTGATTTGATCAACATATGTCAACATCGAACCTCAAAAATATGTGTAATCAATTATGATTCAATAAAAATTTTATAAATAAATAAATAACCACTCAATAGTCAAATGCTGGTGAAAATGGAAGTCAGCTTTTTTTTTTTTTTAAAAAAGATGACTGGTAAGGGGATCTCAACCCTTGGCTTGGTGTTGTCAGCACCACGCTCAGCCAGTGAGCAAACCGGCCATCCCTATATAGGATCCGAACCCGCGGCCTTAGTGTTATCAGCACCGCACTCTACCGAGTGAGCCACGGGCCGGCCCGGAAGTCAGCTTTTATTCAGGAATATCAGTGAGAGATGTCGGGCTCACCCATCTCTTTTGTAAACCTGAAGGAGAATGGCCAGATTCAAACCATCTTAAAGGCTCAGATTTTCTGAGAGATTTTTAAAGAGGGGGCTGAGAGAATGGAACATGGCAAGTGAAAAGCAGGAAGAAGCAGCATGTGAGCCGCGAGGCTTCATGCAAGGTCTCAGGCGTAAAGTATCTCCAACACTCCATCTGGTTCTGCTCCCATCCTTATTTCAGGGTCCTGCTGGATAGTACATGCCTGGTTGCAAGTCTTCAGCTTCAGGCTGGCTTGGAAACAACTTTACATTCATGTAAATAATGTCACCTTGCCCCAAAACCAAGGTGCAAAGGATCAAATAACCAAGGGAAAAGGGAACTTGGAGAAATGCATGCCAAGAAAAAAAAACTGTGTCTTTTAAAAATTTGCCTACAGTGCATGTGATTTTAGGTCCCAACATGGCTTCAGTCCTGCTCACTTCATCAACGTCAACAACGCAGAGATCACATTTTGAGATGATGGATGGCTTGAGCAGAGAGAGAATAAACTCCTCATTCATGCTCCTTTTAGAGCCACCAGAACCCCATTATTCCAAGAATGGATCAATCCTTCCACCAAGATAGAGTCCTCACAATCCAATCACCTCTTCAAGGCCCTGCCTTTCAATTACCATAATAGGATTTCCCACTGTAGAGCTAGGGCTGGGTCTCTGGTGCTCACAGACCCCTCGAGCCCTTTCACAAACCCTTCACACACAGGTCTGTGAGCTAGGTAACAGCAAAAAGGTCCTTGGAGCCGTAGGTGAAGAAAGAATAGTCTTTATTCAGCATGCACACATCTAATAGCTAAGCAGTACACAGAGAAACTCAGAAACTCAACCACTACGAGCAAAATCCAAAGAAAAACTGAGCAGCTGCCAGCAGAGTAAAGGTGCTCTATGTTTAGACAGAGCTCTGCTGGCCAGCTCTGCTTCACAAACTGCAGAACACACACAAGCAACAAACTAGAAAGATACATGGGTGCACATGGGCACTAACCCCACCCACACAACTTGTTTACAAAGAAATAACCAGACCTGAGCCAGGGAGCCTGACTAAATTATCCTATTTTCCCCACACCCACCCTGTTAACACTGTCACAGTGGAGGTTACGTTTCTAATACATGGACTTTGTGGGGCACGATTCAATCCATAGCTCCTACTAACAATCCCAAATCTATACGTTATGTACAATCAGTAGAAAAACTGATGTAATGATTGGGGGGGCTGTCCTGTAATCTCCGCATTGATTCTCTCCCTTTTGCGTGATTACAAAATGCTGTATTCTGCGGACCTCCTTTGATGCATATTCCAAGACAACTTGGCTGTGTGTCTTCAGGGACTGCATTTCCTCATATGAGTATACACACAAACAAACTCCTTGCTGTATACTTTTGGCCTCACCATCTTTTTTTAGGTCAACAGTGTGAATGCATTCAGAGCCTCCAAGAACTCTCCGTTCGCCAGTCTCACATTTTCCTGTTGTTTTAAAACACCCATCACCCCTTCACTCAAAGTTGCTGTCCAAGGAAGGCTTTTGGATTTAGGACCCCTACTAGGGCAGAGGTTATTTATTTAATTAATAAAATTAAGCGGCTTAAAAGGTATCTCCTACTTCGTTGTTTTGCCTAGGGAACGCCCTATCATGTGACGTTATTTGTCTGATTGAGTTATGCGTTTGCTCTTAGCTGATGCGATTATCCCATGATAAAAGCTCGGTCTGAGTCTGGCCGGTTACTCAGTCAGTCCGAGCGCGGGGCTGACAACAGTGAGGTCGAGCATCGGTCCGGCACCAGCCAGCTGCCAAAGGACAGAACACTTGGTCTGCTCAGAGCAGAACCGAATTGGCCTCGTGTTCCCGGAACTACAAGTCCCAGAAGGCCTTGCAGCCCGGGCGCCCGCGCGTCGCGAGCCGCTTCCTTTCCGCCGCCGGTCGCCAGAAAAGACCCGCCCCGCTCTGCTGTCGCTCGCGCTGGAAGAAGCGGAAGAAGATGGCGCTCACCAGGTGGGTTGTCGATTCCGGTCCTCAATACGGAAGGGTCTGGGAGGATCCACCTTTTTCATTTCTCTGCCCTCGCTCTCCGGGCAGTGACTTGGCCCGGGCCACAGCGTGACGTGGGCCGAGACGATGGCTAGGCCCTCCCGCCGGCCGCCGCGGCGACTAGGCCTCGTTGAGGCTGGGGTCTTTCCTGAGCGGCTGCCCGGGTTGGGTCGCCCCCACGCTAGGGCCGAAAGCCGCGACGTGGCCTCAAACGCTGCGTCGTCGCACGTGTTTTTCGCTTAAGCCTCCTGGGGTGTGGACAGCGCTGTCTTAGGGCCGCGGCTGCTTGGACCCGGCGGGGTGAAGCCCCGGGAGGCGACTGCGCGACTTTCCGCCGTTCGTCTGCGGTGGTCTCTTTCCTTTCCCTGTCCATTCCGTTTCCCGAAAAGAGGATTCCTGAAAAAGGGGACCCGGTGTTGAACAGAGGTTTTAAATTAGTCACAGTAGTGGCCGCTGTCCACTCATTTGCGCTGCTGCTCTGCACTTTAACTTTGGACCTTAGAATGTCTTCCGTAGATAGAACCACCTCAGATTTTTGCTGTACTCGGTTGCCCTGGTAACCGTCTGTAAAGTGCTCCCTGCCTTTAAGATGATTTAAGTGGGAGACCCTAAGAAGTTACATAACTCCAATTGGCTCGCGACCTTGCTGCCCCATCTAAGTAGGAAAACTTACGGTGAGAACTCAGCAGGAAAAGTCTAGTGTTAAAAAAAGGTTGTAAAGAAAGTAATCATTTTAGGACATCATCTTGAGCCCTTTTAACACACTTCATTCTTCTCATCCATAATTTTCCTGGCTGATGAGAGTATGAATTAGGATTTTATTTTATTTTTTTCCTTTTTGTCTTTTTTTGTGACCGGTAACGGAATCGCAACCCTCAGTGTCGCGCCCGTACCGCGACCGGCAATGGGATTGCAACCCTCGGTGTCGCTCCCGCACCGCGCTCAACCAGTGAGCGGACTGGTCTCTATATGGGATCCGAACCCTCCGCGGGAGCGCTGCCGCACTCCCAAGCGCCGCCGCACTCCCAAGCGCCGCCCTCTAACGAGTGCGCCACCGGGCCAGCCCAGGATTTTTTGTTTTAATCAGAAAAATTCTTTCGGGAATTTCTGTTCAATGCCTTGGTCTATCCTAGGGATTGTGTATACATAGGAAACCTGACTGTCTTTGGCTGCAGGGAAGATCAATATAAGGCATACAGATACAAAACAGGTAGATAACCACTTTGTGTTGTTTTTTGTGTAGTACTAACCTTAGTGCAAAAAGAATTAATGGAATGAGCTGTATGGAGAGTTTCCTTTAATAAATGTTATAGGCAGCAAACATTTGAGCCCCCCCCCCCCCCATGAGAGGCACTGTGACATAGACTAGTAGAGTTATGAGTGAAGGCTTTTGTGGAAAAGGTGGAATTTGAAATAGGCACACAGGAAAAATACCAGAGATGTCATGGGTGTCGTGTGCTTAAAATTGCAATAGCAGAATGCAATCTTTTCATGGTCAGACTTGGGGACTACATAGCTTCCATATGGTGTTCATTGGTATCCTTTGTAATATCCTTTATGGTAAACCAGAAAATGTAACTTTCCATAAGTTCTGTGAGCCATCTTAGCAAATTAATCACACCCAGGTAGGGGGTGGTGGGAGGTCCCGTTTGTAGCCAGTAGGTCAGAAGTATGGGTGGGCCCGACTTGAGATTGGCATCTCAAGTGGGACAGTCTTGTGGGATTGAGCCCTTAAGCTGTGGGATCTGACACTGTCTTCAGGTAGATAGCATCAGAATTGAATTAGCGGACTCCCCTTGGTGTCCATCAGAGAATCCGGAGAATAGATTGCTTGCTTGGTGTTGTCACACATCTGGTGTCAGAAATGTTGTGTGCTGTGTTGATTGTTGAGTGAGATAGTAAGAGAAACTGAGTTCATTTTTCCTGTATTTTTACACTCCCTGTCCTCATGGAGCTTACATGCTAGTAAGACAGACAAACTGTGTATGAGTAAAAAAAATCAGTAATGCAATTTCAGGTAGTATATGCTAGGAATAAAATAAGGATTAGAGAGTTTGGGGTTGAGTGGCTATTTTCGACAAAGTGGTCAGAAAACAGCTCTAGGTCAGTGTGATTGAGCAGAGACATGAATGTTAAGATGCAAGCCACTAAAAGATCTGGGACAGAGTTTTCTATAAAAGCTTAGGAAAAATGTTCTTCATAAATAGCATATTTTATGGTAGAGGGAATAGCAAATGTAAACATCCCGAGATGGCTTGTTTAAGAACAGGCAAGAAGGCTGTCATAAAGGTGGTGAGTGTGAAGGGTAGAGTGTATTCATTTCTTCTGCGAACATTTAAGGAGCCCCTGCTGTTCTAGACAATGCATGAAGAGTTAGGGATGAAAGCAGCAGAAGCCATGATTCCTGCCCTCAAGTTGCTCACCGTCTAGTGAAAGAAGGATGGGGGCCAGCCCGGTGGTGCACTGGATAAGTGCGCCGCTTGGGAAGCGCGGCGGCGCTCCCGCCCGAGGGTTCGGATCCCACATACAGACCGGTTCCCGCTCACTGGCTGAGCGAGGCGCGGGAGCAGCACCGAGGGTTGCAATCCCGTTGCCGGTCTCCGGTCCGGTCTGGGGGCAACACTGAGGGTTGCGATCCGTTGCCGGACACGGAAAAAAAGACAAAAGACAAAAAAAGAAAGAAGGATGGGTAAATGAATAGATGATTGCAATACAGTAAGATAAATGTACTAGGAGTGGTGTGTAGAGGGTCTGGTGGGAGCATAGATGGGAGGCACCTAACCCAAATTTGGGGAAATCATGGAACAGCTCCAAATAATCAAACGTTTATGAAACATATTGAACAGTATGTATATAGACATTGTGCCTACTGGTTCATGGATTTTTTTATTTAATACTTATAAGAACCATGGGCTGTTTAGTTAGCTCACTTGGTTAGAACACGGTGCTGATAACACCAAGGTGAAGGGTTCAGATCCTGCACTGGCTAGCCACAAAAACAAAAACAAAGAACCTTGAAAGGTAGATACTCTCATAATCTGTCATTACAGATTAGAAAACAGGTTCAGAGAGATAAGTAATTTATTCAGGTTAGTAAATGGCATAGGTGGGATTCAAACTTTGAGCTCTTAGCCATCACATTACCTGATCTCCCCAGACTGTATTACATACCTCTGATGCATGCTGTCTTAACACTCTATACTTTTGCCTCATCATTTAATGTAATTTGTAACTATGGATTTGTGTGGTTATTTGTCTTTCTCTCCTGCAGGACTGTAAGCTGTCTTTCTCAGTTTGTCTCATTGCCTACCCAGCATAGTGCCTGCACCCAAGTGATCAATAAATATTTTTGATAAATGAATATTCAAGTATTCTTACTAGCCAAGACTCACAAAGTAACCTGAATTATTATTATTATTTTTTTTTTTTTTGTCTTGTCTTTTTCCGTGTCCGGCAACGGATTGCAACCCTCAGTGTTGCCCCCGCACCGGACCGGGGACCGGCAACGGGATCGCAACCCTCGGCGTTGCCCCCGCGCCTCGCTCAGCCAGTGAGCAGGAACCGGTCTGCATGTGGGATCCGAACCCTCGGGCGGGAGCGCCACCGCGCTTCCCAAGCGGCGCACTTATCCAGTGCGCCACCGGGCCGGCCCTCCCTGAATTATTTTTTGTATTAAACATATTATACATCTACCAGAATCCTTTTGTGGTACTTTGGGGTATCACTATAATAACATGTATGACATTTAAAAAGTTGTTAAGAATGGTTAGTAGAGGGCCGGCCCGTGGCTCACTTGGGAGAGTGTGGTGCTGATAACACCAAGGCCACGGGTTCGGATCCCATATAGGGATGGCCAGTTAGCTCACTGGGTGAGCGTGGTGCTGACAACACCAAGTCAAGGGTTAAGATCCCCTTACCGGTCATCTTTTAAAAAAAAAAAGAATGGTTAGTAGAAAGGTTACTTTGATTAAATAATAAGTTACAACCTCAGGACTTCTACTTTTTTTTTTTTTTTTTTTTTTTTTTTTTCCAGCTGGCAGTTGTGGGGATCTGAACCCTTGACCTTGGTGTTACCAGTACCAAGCTAGGGCTTCTGCCTTGATTCTTTGACCTTTTAAGATTTATTTATTTATTTATTTATTAATATTTTTTTTTTATATTCTATGATGTTGCAGAGCAGTTGGGAGAGAGGAGAAGAGAGAAAGGGGGAAGGAAATGTGATAGAAGAAGGGAGGGGGGGCAGGATTGAGGCCTTTGGCACCCCCCTCATTCCCACAGGGGTGACAGGGGGGGGGCTTCCAGCAGAGGCGTGATCATTGCTGGGCTGGGTGTAGATATCAGGGGGATGTGGCAAAAGCCCTCACCCCCCACCACCCCAACTTGGGAACCCGGGACCCTTCTTGCTGCACCTTGGTGACCATCTCTGGGCTGGTTGCAAGTGTTTTGGACAGGGGGTGGCCAAGGCCATGAGGCACTTCCTGCAGCAGCTCAGTGGTTGTCACTGGGCTGGCTATGGGTATCAGGGGGAGTGGCTGAGGCCTGAGGCTCCCCAGTGCCCTGGCTCGGAAGAGCCCAGGGCGCTTCCTGTGGTGCCTTGCTGGTTGTCACTGGGCTGGTTGAGCATGTTGGGGCAGTGTGGCCAAGGCCCTTAGCCCCCACCCTCAGGACTGGTTGCAGGTGTTGGGGGTCATAGCTAAGGCCCCTGGCCCTCCCCTGTTTCTGGCTTGGTAGCTCAGAGGACTTCTGGTCCTTCTAGGTGTTATAGGTGTTCTTTGGTGAAATGATACCTTTTTTTTTTTTTTTTTTTTTTTTTTTAAAAGATGACCGGTAAGGGGATCTTAAGCCTTGACTTGGTGTTGTCAGCACCACGCTCAGCCAGTGAGCGAACCGGCCATCCCTATATGGGATCCGAACCCGGGGCCTTGGTGTTATCAGCACCGCACTCTACCGAGTGAGCCACGGGCCGGCCCCATGGTGAAATGATACCTTTACTAGTTAATACCAAACTTTGTTTCTGGTTGTGGGTACTTTGTTTTTTCTTTCAGTTCTGTGTTGGATTATTTGCTGTTCCCACCATTTAAACTCTGTACTGGAACTAATTTGTTGTCCTTTGCTTACTTCTAAAATGGGGGACCTTCCTGTGGGGACCAGTACTTGAGCTGTGTGGTTGAGCTAAATTGCTGCTTTGTGCTGATTCCCTAGGGAAGGCTTTTTGTGCAGCTCAGGTTTTAATGGTTGACTTTATAGGTACTTCCTGGTCTAGAGAAATCTGGTGCACCTGGTTTGTGTAGAAACTCTGGTCTGGGCCTGAGTCTTTTCATCAAACTGCACCCCATGCAATTCTATATTCCTGACCAGTCTCCTCTGAGTGGTCCTATGCTGACTGGGGGGCAGATCAGCTGTCCTTGCTGTGCCCCAGTGTTCCTCCAGTGGGCCCATCTCCCCCACCGCCCATGCTCCAAATACTTTGCATGGGACAGGTTATGCTCTGGTCCCTTGTGATGATTCACTGCCTCTGAGTGGCTCCTCACTACTATGTGGATCCATGGGAACCCTATTAGTGGTCTTGCCGGCCTGGGGGCCACCGAGGCCTTCTTCTCTCCTTCCACCTCCAAGCAACTTAGTCCGAAGGGCACAGCTGTGGCTTTTGCCAGTTCCTGCTCCTTGCGCTTAGCAGCTCCAGCCTGGAAGCAGCTGGGATACGAAACAGTCGGTCAGAGCAGTTTTTTCTTTCTCTCATTGTGGCTTCTCTTGCCTTCATACACTCCGTAAGTCTCTCTTCCTCTTCCCCTGAGCTCTAGTGGCCCCAGCTTAGCTGTTGTTGCTTTTTCATAGTTGTAAATTAGCTGATTTGTGGGAGAGAGTGACGCTGGGGACCGTCTATTCTGCCATCTTGACCAGAAACCAAAACCAATGTTCTTATTAAACACCAAACCTCAGACTTAAAGCAGTACAGGTGGGGTGGGGAGAAGAAGTGAAGAACTACACTAAACAGATGCTTTAGAATTTTCTGTACTTCAACAGCTGGCTTAAGACCAGCTGTGCTCCCTGGCTGTGAGGAAGACACCAGACCTCCTGAAGCTGCAGCCACAGCCCAGTCTGTCCTCCCTGTTGAGGCTGAGTCAGCTGGGCTATCATAGCATTCCTTTCAAGCATCACCAACTCTGATTCCTGAGCCGCAAATGCTCCTCTTGCCCCATCAGGGGTATTGCTACATGGGCTTCTGCAAACATCCCCTCCTCCAAGAAGTCCACCATCCTTGGTGGCTACTGGACTCTCCTCCTGGACAGGCGTGTCGACAGCCGAGTCCTTCCTCTTCACCGTCTTTTTCTTCGAATGCACACAGTCACCTTTTGTTTTTCTCTGTATGAAGTGAGCGAGTCCGAGTGCTTCCTGGGGAGCAGCGCCCCGAAGTTCCCTGAAGGAAGGAGCTAGCACTCAACACCTCCCACATCCATCCTCTCGGGAGTCCAGCCCCACAGCAAGACCCGCAACGGTGTGGGCCGCTCGGGGCACATGTATTCAGGTGCAACGGCCGCAGGAGCTCCTGGGGCACTGCCGGGGCCTCGCCACGAAAAGCAGAATCTGAGCGCAGGTCCACAGGGACTCGAGTGGGACAAGCAGGGACAGCCCTGCCAGGCCCGCGCTGGCTCCATGCCAGCAGTCTCCCTGGCTTAAGATTTCAATTTCATTGTAAAGTAAATACCCTTTGGAAAATGCACTTAAATATGCAACTCGTGTTTTCTTTCTTGTATAACCTCTTACATTCAGTTCTAATTCTTGTTCTTTTATTTTATTATTATTTTTTTTTATAAAGATGACCGGTAAGGAGATCTCAACCCTTGACTTGGTGTTGTCAGCACCACGCTCAGCCAGTGAGCAAACCGGCCATCCCTATATAGGATCCGAACCCGTGGCCTTGGTGTTATCAGCACCGCACTCTACCGAGTGAGCCACGGGCCGGCCCTAATTCTTGTTCTTTTATATTGATATTAAAATAGTTAAAAGTAAGGAGCATAAGAATAAATAGTTAACAATAAGGAGTATAAGAATAGCAAGGATACTTAGAAAACCATATACTGGACAGTTGGCCCCTGGGTGATCGAGAATGTTTAGTCAAATTAAATGTAAGAATTTTTTTTTAATTCTGGCTTCTATTATCTTTGCTTTTAGCTTTTTACCTGCACCTACTCAGCTATCTCAGGACCAGCTTGAGGCTGAAGAAAAGGCAAGATCTCAGAGATCACGGCAGACCTCACTGGTCTCATCCCGAAGAGAACCTCCCCCATACGGGTACCGGAAAGGCTGGATACCTAGGTTATTAGAGGTAAATATGGATCTTCAGTTGGATTTATTAACTGTGCTGAAACTTAATACCCTTGTAAAATAAATTTAAACCCTAGAACCTCTGATTATTATTTTTTTTTTTTAAAGATGACCACTGAGGTGGATCTTAACCCTTGGCTTGGTGTTCTCAGCACCGCACTCTCTCACTGATCCACGGGCCGGCCCTTAGAACCTCTGATTATGAATGTCAGTGTGATGGGAATTCTGGTTGTGTGCTCTCAAGACATATATTTCTCTTAGATTTATCTTTTTCTTCTTATTATCACTGCTTTGTGATCACTAGAGAATTGCACCATTTTGTGTCTTTTTATATCAAACTATTAAACATGTACAAAAGAAACTAGCATACCTTTTATAAATCCAGAGATTGTAGCATATGGAAAATAATGGGAAAGTAAGAGATAAAAATAAGAGTGATAAAAGTAAGTGGATTTCATGTTCGGACTTCCCTTTCCCCTAATAATACCACATAACCCTGAAGAGAAAAACCTTCCTCCAGAGAAAATTCCAGTAGCATTTCCTTTGATTTCCTTCTCTTCATCTGTTTTCTTATCTTCAATTTGAGAATGTTAATACATGACTGATATGCAGATTAGATACATTTTTAGGAGGTATAAGAGACAAAATTTGATGGTTGATTTGGAAGCAATGAGAGAGAAGGAAGAATCTGGAATGATCCTTTCTATCTCTAGCTTGTTCACAAAGAACAAACTGCCTTGGCAGCACCTAATCTCCTAATTACTCAGAATCCTGTACATCAGTTCAACACATATTCCTTTCCCTACTTACAGGGCAGCCTTCCCATGCTTGCCCGCCTTTCTTATATAGAAAGAAAAGCTAACATTTGAGACTCAAATATTTTGCCTTCCCAAGACCTACTCCACGAGACCTCCTCAACTGTCATCAAACCTGTTTCTTCTCCTCCCAATATTCATTCTGACTACAGCAAATTTTCCTCCTCCATATCCCATGGAATGTACCTGCCCTATTAAAAATCTGAAGGGCCTATAATATTTATTTTTGCACTCAGTCATTTTTGCTTTGTCACTTGCTTATATTCTGTCCTTATATGATTATGATTTTTACTTTACAAACATGAAGGCTCATGCCTTTTTTTATATGCCTGTAAGTAGTGGTCACAGTATTCATTGAATTGAAACTCATTGCTTAGAACTGTACAAGAAGCCATCTCCCATGTTTTTCATTCTCCTGCCTATGAGACTCTTTACAGAGCCTAGAAGACAAATACCCAACTAGATCACATCTTGTCCTAACATATTCCTTGTCTTTTTTTTTCTTGGCTCTCCTCTGGTCCTTATGCATTCTAGTATATGAAGACCAGTCTTACTATAATTATTAAGGGATTTTTTTGTTGCTTTTTTCCTGTCTGATAGGGTAATTTGTGAGAAACAGAGCAAAATAAAAGATCATCAAGAGTGCTGTAATGTCCTCTTATCTGGGGCAAAAAGGTGGTGATTGGCATTATCTAATAGAGGAGTTGAGTGTCTCTTTTGAGAGATTATAGGTATTCTTTGGCCTTTCAATAGATTACAGAATGTGGGTGGCAGGCATCATAATAACATACAATGGAAATCTCATCCTTGCATTTCAGCATTATGACATTAGGTTGCTAATTTTTTAAATCTTACTAGACTATCAAAGGTTTCATATATCTTGATGGAACAGAACAGTTTATTTGAAAATCAAACCAAAATGGCCAGCTAATCTGAAAATGCCATAGATGCTGTGGGAGGGGAGTGAATGTTCTGTGAAAGAAGGCATTTTGTTCTAGTTTTCAAAGTAAAAGCTATGATTTTGTGGCAAGCTTAATGACCACATAATGCTGGATCTACAGTTCTGAAGTGCTTATTATAGTTGAAGAACTCTAGCAAATCTGAGCATGTGTCAGATTGATGGCCTGGTTACAGGAAGCACTTTTCTTAGGAATGCTTTAACTATTTCAGCCTAATTTACAAGAAAATGTCTCTCTCAGCTTTATTCTGTTGGTTTTCAAAAATTTTAAAGCTCTCCATACCAAATAAGCATATTGTACCTAGGGACTCATATGTCCTAGATCTAATGGAGTATTGTTTGAAGAAATCTTGTAAAAGTGGATATTTTCATGACTTTTTTCATCAAACACCCTCTAAATGGTTAATTTTAGTATGTTTTTCCTATCCTTTCTTAGTAATACTGATTTGGCTTTTGAGCTAAAAGAAAGGTATTTCAGAGTAGTAGAACATAACAAAGCTTTTTGGAGTCAAAAGGTCTGGGTTCAAGTGATACCTATACTAGCTGTGAGACCTTGGGAAAAATCACTTAATCTTTCCAAACCTGAATTTTTTCCATATGAAAATATGAGGATGTTGAAGAGTTATAAGAATTAAATGAGATAATTTAAGTGTAAATTATATTTGGTAAATTATAAGATACTAAGTAAATATTACTAAATTTTTTAAAACTACTTAAAAATTGATTTTCCCATTTGATGATATGCCTTTTTTTAATATTAAACTTTATTGACAGACTTTAGCTTGTTCTACTTTAGAAGTCTTAGTTCTCTCGGGCCGGCCCAGTGGCTCACTTGGGAGAGTGCGGTGCTGATGACACCAAGGCCCCGGGTTCGGATCCCATATAGGGATGGCCGGTTCGCTCACTGGCTGAGCGTGGTGCTGACAACACCAAGTCAAGGGTTAAGATCCCCTTACCGGTCATCTTTTTAAAAAAAAAAAAAAAAAGTCTTAGTTCTCTCTCCTAAATAAGTGTACATAATCACTAGTAGAAATGTGGTAAACTCATTTCTGGGCCCTTCCTATTCTATTTACAGTATTTGCTTCTCACATAATCTTTGCATTGTCCTAAACATTTTGCTTGTTTTCTTCTGGCCACTATGTAAAATACTAAGTTCTTGCTATGCCTGGAAGCTCCTTTATGATCTGGTGTTTGTCTGTCCATGCAACCTACATGTCTGCTCCTCTGTCATCAATAAGTTATTAGCCCACTGGCCTCTTGTTTCCCAGAATATGCCAAGCTCATTCTGGCAGCAGGGGCTTCAGACTTACTATTTGCTCTGCCTAGAAAATGCTTCCTTCAGATCTTCCCATGACTGTTTTCTCATCATTCAGGCTTTAGCTCACATGTTACTACTTCACAAAGGCTGTCCCAACCATGCTATTGAAAGTAGCCCCTCTTCTGAGTCCCTGTATTTCCTTCACGGCACTTACTGTAAGCCAGAGTATGGTTTTTTATATCTTTTCCCACTAGAATGTAAACTCCACAATATCAGAGACCTCTGTTTTGTTGACTGCCGTATCTCTAGCATCTAGCATACTAAAGATTCAATAATTATTTGTTGAAAGAATGGATATATCTTGAATCTCAAATTACTATTATTCTTTTTTTCCTCCCTTCCTCCATCCCTCCCTCCTCCCTTTCTCCTTTCTTCTTTTTTCTTCTCTTTTCTTTTTTTATATAGGATTTTGGAGATGGAGGTGCTTTTCCAGAGATCCATGTGGCCCAGTATCCCCTGGATATGGGACGAAAGAAAAAAATGTCGAATGCACTGGCCATTCAGGTGGATCCTGAAGGGAAAATTAAATATGATGCAATTGCTCGACAAGGACAGTCGAAAGACAAGGTAATCCTCTCACTGATTTTTTTTTTTCTCATTGGTAATATTTTTTTATTTTGTGGAGTGATAAATCTCTTGTCATTTGGTTTATGGTAAAAGTATCGGAGAAGTATACTTAGGCTAACTTCAGTACTTTAATAGTTTATTTGAATATAATAAATTACACAACCTCTTTTGCCCTAGATTAAGTATAAAACTAGCATTTGCCATCCAGATTTAGGATGGCCCTGTTTACAAAGTAATCCAAAGACCAAAAATAAAATTTAGTTAAAATAATTTCATCAGAGAGCAGCTACACTCAGAGCCAAGGAATTATTTTTAAGAAGACCTAGTTTTTCTTTCTTTTTTTTTTTTTTCTCCTTGTAAATAAATACTTGAGATAGAAGTAAAAGATGTCTTTAGAATTGATGATGTTGGGGAAAATACTTGAGAGCCTTCAGTACCATACTATCCTTCGTCCTCCTTTCTCCCAGACCTCTTCATTTTACCCTCTAAAATAGCACTGACAACCTGTCCTTTGCTCCTACACCATGCCTGCTGAGCTTTTGGGGAAAACAATTATGCAATCATGGAAATTTATGTTTCGTGTTTCAGCTGGGCTTCCTTGGTACTCCCACCGAGCCTTAACTCCTAACTCATCTCCATCCCATCTCATCCTTAGCAGGTGACTCCCCTATCTATTTGAATATAAAGACTATTGGAAGAAAACTGTCAACTTTCTTTGTCTTGCACTTGTCTTTTTTTTTTTTGTTTGTTTGTTTGTTTGTTTGTTTGTTTAAAGATGACCGGTTAGGGGATCTTAACCCTTGACTTGGTGTTGTCAGCACCACGCTCACCCAGTGAGCAAACCGGCCATCCCTATATGGGATCCGAACCCGCGGCCTTGGTGTTATCAGCACCGCACTCTCTTGAGTGAGCCGCAGGCCCGCCCCTGCACTTGTCTTTTTGCTTTCACTTTTGTTTCTTTAAGAGATCCCTTCTCCTATCTATGCCTAATCTTGTCATGTGTATTTTGGATCTCAATCCCTTCCATTTTCCACTGTAACCTCACCTATTAGTTACTCTTTTCAACTGTCTTTTAAAACCTCTCCTTTTTTAATGGCTCCTTCTGTTAGCACTTGAATGTTCTTGCTTTTCTGATATTTTGAAAGAAAATATTTCCCTGACTAGTCACCCTCAAAGCTCCTTTTGGCTACCACCTGATTTCCACCTAGTTTTCTTCACTTTCCTTCAAGCTTCTTGAAAGAGTTGTTTTCTTTCCTCCCCTCTCTACTTCACCTTCCTTTCATTCAATTTGTTCATTGTGATGTGAACTCATCTCAACCAGTTTGCAGGGTAGGTTTCTGGCAAAGATTTCTAACACTTTGTTTTCTGGGTTTTTTGTTGTTGTTGTTTTTGGTTAGGGTTTTTTTTGGCAGCTGGCCTGTACAGGGATCCAAATGCATGCCTTTGGTGTTAGCAGGACCACATTCTCACAATCTAACACTTTTTTTTCACAGCATGTTCTCTTTGACTAATGTAATTTATTCCTATGGCTTCAATCGTCACTCATGTGCTGATGATTGTGTCTCCAGCCCAGTTTTTTCTGCTGGTCTCTAGGTCATTATATAAACTGTCTACAAGGGCAGACCTATCTGGATATTCCTTAAATACTACCTAATCAAATCCAAACCTAAATGCATAATTTTCTACTTAATCTTCCTGTTATAGTGTCTAACTCAGTGAATGGCAGTGATATCTTCCTAAGTGCCTATGCTGAAAGCCTGGGAGTCCTTTTTTGCCCTTATTTTATTGATATTTTCTAAAAATTACACAAGTAATATATTGTGATAAAAGATACTAGTGGTACATAAGTATAAATAGTCCAGCCTGCTTTTCTTCTACTTTACTTCCTAGAGGTAATTACTGTTACTACAATGATGTACATTTTTCCAGACTTTTATTGTGGATTTAGATATTTATGTGTATGTATTCTCAGTTTACATACACATATGCTTATAGACTTATTTTTTTACATGAATGGGATGTTGATATTCATAACTTCTTTAACTTTTTTTTACTAATATGTTTTCAAGCTTTTTTTAGTACATATAGGTGTACTTCATTTTTTATAAAATCCAGCTGGCTGGTTCCTCAGTTGGTTAGAGCACAGCCTTATAATTCCAAGGTCATGGGTTTGGATCCCTGTACCAGCCACACACACACACACACACACACACACACACCAAAAAAAAACAATGACAACAAAAACAAAAATCTAGACTAAAATATTCCATGGTGAGGTTATACTCTTTTTTAAGCACTGGTGGTTTTCAATTTTTTAGTTTTATAAACAAAACTTTATTCTTTCGCTAGACCCTCCATCTGTTTAGTGACCACAATCTATCTTGTTTTCTTAACACTTCTGAAGTATATTCCCTTCTCTGCTACTTAGTTCAAGCCCTTATCATTTCTTGGTTCGTTTGCCACAGCAGAGTCTGAACCCATTTTCTTTTTTTTTTTTTTTATCCTTTTTGTCTTTTTTCGTGATCGGCAACGGATCGCAACCCTCAGTGGCGTGCCCGCACCGGGCCGGGATCGGCCACGGGACCGCAACCCTCAGTGTTGCCCCCGCCCCTCGCTCAGCCAGTGAGCGGCCGGTCTGTATGTGGGATCCGAACCCTCGGCAGGAGCGCCACCACGCTTCCCAAGCGGCGCACTACAGCAGTGCGCCACCGGGCCGGCCCCTGAACCCATTTTCTTGCCATTTATCTTGCCTGCCTGAAAAAAACAAATTCACCCATGTCTATCTGTTTATTTTTCTCCCTCTCTCCCACATATACACACACAAATGTGCACACTTAAAACCTTTCCATGGCTTCCATGATCTTTAGGATAAAACCCAAGCTCTTTACGGCATGTTTGACCCCTTGCTTACCTATCCTCGACTCTTATGACCAAAATACTGAAATCCAAAAATAAACAGTCCAGTTTTAGCCATTCTATTTATTTTCAAATATAAAATAATCACTATTATAGGTGGCTGTTAAGAAGAAAAGACTTTAAAGCATTCCCTATAAATGTCTGCCAGGAGAAACAACTTGCACTTCCCCTAACAGGGCACATTCTCTCTTATCTTGAGAACTTCTCATGGGCATCCTCCTCTGCCTGGAATGCCCTACCCCTGGTTTTTGTCTGACTTGAATTCTGTTGCTTTCAGATCTCAGCTCATTCTTCACTATTCCAGGACACCCTCCCTGATCTTCCCTGGCTAGATTGGATGTCCCTCCTCGCTACTCCCGATGTTTATCATAGCAGTCGTCACTTTTTGTTGTAATTATCTGTTCACTCATCAATTGCATTTGACTGTAAGCTCTTTGAGAGCAGGGATTATATAGTACCTTTATATTTTCCTCTTCAGCACCTTTCTTGGAGACTGAAAGCTTGACACACAGGCATTCACCAGTGTTAGCTGGGCACACAATAGCAGTTTTCGTTGTATAACAGAGAAACCACTAATGAAGCCAAGTGAGGAAGCATAGTTCACTCCTGCAAGAGGAAAATTAGGTCCCTGTACATGCGGGACATATACTAGAAATTTACCCTGTGCCATGGAGGCCTTCACTGGACTCCAGTTGTCTTTATCTTGGTGGATCTCTCTTTCTCTGAGTAATCACTCTTCATTGATATTTGCTACCTCTCCACTCCCAATTATTAGGAAAAAGCAAAATGTTAAGGCAATAATTTGGCATTAGCAGGTTGTGTTGTTTTGAATGAAATACAGCTTTAGCACATTTCGCATTGTATTTCAACACTGGAAACCAAGAATTGTATCTGATTTGAAGGGAATATCTGAAAGGTTTTTTTCCTTCTGTAACAGCCATCTATATTGGTGATTATTTTGTGTTGAAAATAAAGCAGAACTGTTAAAACTAAACTGTTTCTTTTTGGATTTCAGTATTTTGGCCAAATAAGGTCTCTAAACATTGTTCTTTTTGTCTATAAGACAGCCACCAGAACTGAACCCAAAATTGGTATTTTTTAGAAGTATCACTCTCAGGTGCATTTTTTTTTTTGCTAAAAGTGGATGGATTAATGCATGAAGTTTTGGAATGCATTCGATTATTCAATATTCACTGAGTAGCTGATATGTGCCAGTGGCATTTTGGGGGGAACACTTCTTGATTGTTCAGGATTGTCTTGAGCATTATACAAAGTTTAACATAGCTGACACTACCTATTAAATGCCTGTAGTGCCCCCACCCTACCCATTTTTTTTAACCAGAAACACCTCAGACATTTACAAAGGCCCCAGGAGGGGAGTTGAAGGTGGCAGGGATGCCCTGATTGAAAACCACAGATTTTCCTGTTTTGTTCGTTGACTATTTAAATTTTTAAAATCCCATTTTGTTCATTATGAACATTCAGGAGTCTAATATGGAAAATCCTTGACATAGGATGAAAATAATCTATTGGGTTTTTGTATTTGCACTGTTGTGTAAAGATTTCTGATTTATTTCAGAGTGATCTGTTATTTTTCAGAAACCTATTCTTCTAGAAATTCTTCTACCTCACATGGTGAATATGTTGGTGGGCTTATCCTTTTAGTCAATGCATTTCTTTGCCTATTTTCAGTAAGAAGAAAATATCTGTTTCGTAGATGAGTTACTGCTTTATTTTGTTCGCTAAGCTCATTTGTGCTCCTAATACCTTCAAGGGTATATTGTATTTTCAGATGACCTTTCCCAGCCCCTTTGCCTGCTGGGATATACTGAGTTACTTCAGCACATTTGGTTCTCAGGCTATAAAAATGGGGGGTTTTATAGTTAATTACCATGGGGAAATCTTGCTCTTCAGATGTCCTTCATTCAGCCTTGTGAGATATTAGAATCTTATTGATGCTCATTTAAAGGGTTATTAACTTTGGAATACCCAGATAAGGAGTAAATGGCTCATGTATGCCAAATTAGTATTGAAACTTTATGTTGAACATAATATGACTACCAGGGAGTCATTTACTTAGAATCCCTTCCTTTAATGATTGCTGTGTAAAGGTGATTAACTCTTCTAGTCGTAGTATGATTTTCTAGAGGGTTATATAATTTTCAGTTTGTGGTGGTATAGATTTTTCCATTCTGAAAGGAAATAAGACTTTTTAGGTCAGTTATTAGATATGTGTACTAAGCCTCACTTTTCTCAGTAGAGTAAGCTTTAAGGTACCTTTCAAAATGGTGACACTAATAGCTCACATATCAGTAGTACATGTTTTGTGTTAAATTATCTACACATTCTTACCTGACCCCTCTTCTCATTCCTGGGGGGCGGGGGGGGAAGCTAGAGATTTCGGGTTATAGCCATGAGATAACTTTTTTCTGGGAAATCAATAGCTTGTATAGAAAATTCTGTAGGGCCTATATAAGCACCTTTACATGTAATAGAGGACCTCTAATAGAGGATCTCTAACATATTTATAATATAATAGGGTATTTTAATAGGGAAGACAGACAGTTAAGAAGTAGATAAGTAATTTCATACTGTGAACAGTGCCTTGAAGATAGTAAATAGAGTGCTGTGATTTAGAATGATTGGGTGGGGAGAGGTTGCTACTTTAGCAAGGGTAGTCAGATGAATCAGGGCTCACCAATGCAGGACCTTTAATCTGAGACACAGAGATTAAGAACTCATGTGAAAAACAGGGAACAGCAATTCTATAAACGTCCAGAACTGGGGGAAAGCATGTTCAAGAAACAGAAGAAGAACCAGTGTGACTGAAGCATAATGAGTGAGGGAGTAAGAGTTACAAGAGGAGACTGAAAGTGTAGGCAAAGCCAGCTCAAGTCTCTAAGCCATACAGTGTTTTTTACTCTGTTGTTTGGAATAGGAAATCAGGAATAGCATGCATTTCCTTTAAACTGTTTTAAGGAATGTCATATGATAGAATGCAATTATTAATATAAGACTTTGGCTTGTAGTAGTAAATTCTCTTCTACAGAAAATTTTTGAAGATCTCAAGTGCCTAGGAAGTTGTTTTTTCTTTGCATGTGTATTAAAAAATTTCTGACTAAAACATTTAAGTCTAGAATACTTATTATTTGTTGAATTTCCAGTATCCCTTTTTTTCTTTAAAATCTGCCATGTACATTTTTATGAAAATGTCTGAGAAATGTAAATGGACATGAAAGTGAGTAATACTCTTGTCAGAGGCCTACCACATCAGTGTCAGCCTAATAGAAACCATGTTGGGCCTAGTACAAATCATATAATAGTCCTAAATTTGGATTGGCTAATGGGTGTAAAATGTTTTATATATAGGACGGGTTTTTTGTTGTTGTTGTTGTTGTTGGGCTTTTTTTTACTATTTGTCTTTTCATGGAAGAAAGTTTTCTGAATTTTTTTTGGGGGGAGGGGGTTTGGCAGCTGGCTAGTACGGGGATCTGGACCCATGACCTTGGTCTTATAAGGCTGCACTCTGTGTTCTGAGTTTTTTGACTGTGACACAGGTTTGTTTTCTTAGTCTATGAAGAGAACTGATGCCAGAAAATAAAAAAATAAGTAAGATGAGGTCGATGAAATTTTCTAGGCCCAGTGGATTTAGAAATTATTTGGTAACCTAAATTAAATTATCTTGAGGTTGTAATCCAAGATAATGGTGCTGTAGGCAATTTATATCATTAATTTCAAGTCCTAGTGAGCCTCAAAAATAGGGATCATTGATGCAGAAGATCTTGTTGGCACAATTTATTTGGATATTGACTTCATTAGAAGATCTCAAATCACTTAAATGTGTAGGGTCAAGGGAAAGTCATTAACTTATAGCCAGAGCAGCAATTTGTGTATGTATTTTAAGCTTCCTTGATTTTAAAATCTAAAAGGAAAAATCTGAGCGTTCTAAATTTTTATGTGTGCAGAAAGGACATGTTGACATCTGAAATGACTTAATGAGGTTGCTTCTTTCCATTCTCTACTCTTCTTAAGCCTGCTTGTGTTTGAACATTTTAGGTCATTTATAGCAAATACACTGACCTGGTTCCAAAGGAGGTTATGAATGCAGATGATCCAGACCTGCAAAGACCTGATGATGAAGCTATTAAAGAGGTAACTGGGAATTGATATACTAGATGACTTTTTACATCCTTACTAACTTCTACACCATTCAATGCAATGTTTCTTATTTCAGATAACAGAGAAGACAAGAGTAGCCTTAGAAAAATCCGTATCACAGAAGGTTGCTGCAGCCATGCCAGTTCGAGCAGCTGATAAACTAGCTCCTGCTCAGTATATCCGGTATGAATCATGCTTGGAAGTCTTAGTTTCATTTCGAACTTGATTCAGGTTGTGGATCCTGGTATTCTTTCGCTATCCTACTTAGTAACAGTTATAAATGCATTATTTTGAATAATGACTTGAAGCCTATTGACTCTCTTTGCAGACAGTTGAAAGCAGAATTTTTTAAGATGTCCACTTTAAGATGTTAGCTTTTATGATACTTTCAAAATATATTTTTTTGTTTTCAGAAGTTAACAATTACTTGTGGCCATTGTGATCCAAACCACAATTATTATTTATGGTTTTCCATTTATATATAATAGGCATCCTTATAATACTTCTAAATTTTGAGGGGTTTCATTCGACTAAATCTTTGTGTGGCAGGATGAATCACATATAGATACTAAGGGAAAATTTAGAGCTGGTAGGGCTGCTCCCATTATTGTTCCTCTGTTTTACAACTTATGATTAATCAAAAACTGTTAAATAAGTTGCCTGCTGGGATTATTATGGGTGGTTTTTTTTTCCTCAAGCGTATACTTACATAATAGGTACTATTTTGTGGTCGTCTTCTTATCTGTGAAACTGAACACTGCACCTTCTTTGTTGGAAAATGGATGAGGAGGTATCATTTGCAAACTAATACCCATTCTAGTTTACATTTTGCTTGTAACTCATAATTTCTGTTAGTTCTCTTATCTCTGTTGCTGTCTGCTCTGCCTAAATACTTTGCAGTTTTGAAAATGTAGTCTAGCTTAGGATTGTAACAGAAGGAAAATACCTACTGAAAGCTTGAACTTGTTACACCTTTAGTTTTCATCTGCTTTCTTCAGATACACACCATCTCAGCAAGGAGTGGCTTTCAACTCTGGAGCTAAGCAGAGGGTTATTCGGATGGTAGAAATGCAGAAAGATCCAATGGAGCCTCCGAGGTTTAAGTAAGTAGATGGCTTTATGAGAATGAATTACTATTTTTAAAAGAGGTATTAAAGGAGGAAAGTCGCAAATGTCCATCAAGAGGTGAATGGATAAACAAAACTGTGGTATATTCCTACATGAAATACTGTTTAGCAATAAAAACAAATAAACTATTAATACACACAATAACGTGAATGAATCTGAAAATAATTACGCTGAGTGAAAGAAGCCAGACAAAAACAAGTACATACAGTATGATTCAATTCACGTAAAACTCTGGAAAATGCAAACTAATCTAGTCACAGAAAGTAGATTAGTGGTTGCCTGTGGAGAAAGAGGTAGGGAAAGAGGAGTGATGGCAGATACAAGAAGGACAGGTGTGGGACATGCAGAAACTTTTTGAGGGTGATAGATATGTTCACTGTCTTGATTGTGATGATGGTTTCACAGGTGTATACTTGGGTCAAAATGAAATCAAATTGTACATTTTAAATATGTATAGTTAATTGTATGTCAGTGATATCTCAGTAAATCTGTTTAAAAAGGAAAAAAGTATATTACTCTATGAAATAATATGGAGATGGGGTGAATGATGAAGATGACAAGGTGGGCCAAGTGTTGTTAATTGTTGAAGCTGAGTGATAGGTGTATGGTACATGGGCATTCATTATACAGTCTCTGTTTTTGTCTGTTTGAAGATTTACACAACAAAAAAAAATATGGAGGGGAGACTTGTTATATATAATAACTAAAAGGGAAAAAAGTATAACACTCTTTGGTTGTGCTTTGATTTATATTTCAGGATTAATAAGAAAATTCCCCGCGGTCCACCTTCTCCTCCTGCACCTGTCATGCATTCTCCTAGCAGAAAGGTATTCTTTGCTATAAACTAAATCTTTTTTTTGTACTCATGATTGTTAATTTTAGGGCCGGCCCGGTGGCGCACTGCTATAGTGCACCGCTTGGGAAGCGTGGTGGCGCTCCCGCCGAGGGTTCGGATCCCACATACAGACCGGCCGCTCACTGGCTGAGCGACAGGTGGGAGCAACACCGAGGGTTGCGATCCCGTGGCCGGTCACGAAAAAAGACAAAAAAAGGAAAAAAAAAAAAAAAATGATTGTTAATTTTATAAATAAGCTCACTGTACCTATACAGGTTCATGTCACCACAGTGACTGATAGTTTTCTTTTTTTAATTTGTTTTTCAAGATCAAATAGGAACTTGGTCAAGACTACAAAGTATAATTTCTAGAGTATTTATCAGAATGTATGGGGGCCGGCCCGGTGGCGCACTGGATAGTGCGCCGCTTGGGAAGCGCGGCGGCGCTCCCGTCCGAGGGTTCGGATCCCACATACAGACCGGCTCCCGCTCGCTGGCTGAGCGAGGCGCGGGAGCAACGCCAAGGCTTGCAATCCCGTTGCCGGTCCCCGGTCCGGTACGGGGGCAACACTGAGGGTTGCGATCCGTTGCCGGACACGGAAAAAAGACAAAAGACAAAAAACAAACAAAAAAAAAAAGTTGTTTGAGTTCCTTGTATATTCTGGATATTAGTCATTTGTCAGATGTATATTTTGCAAATATTTTCTCCCACTCTGTTGGTTGTCTTTTAGCTCTTTTAATTGTTTCTTTTGCTGTGCAGAAGGTTTTTAGTTTGATAAAGTCCCATTTGATTATTTTTCCTTTGGTTGCCCGTGCTTTTGGGGTCATATACATGAAGTCTGTGTCCAGCCCTGTTTGGTAAAGTGTTTCTCCTATGTTTTCTTTAATAAGTTTTATTGTTTCAG